AATATTTATTTTTTAGTTTTCGGTGGGCACAACATCTTTCTTTGTTTGTATGTGGTGCTGAGGATCGAACCCAGGCCGCACGCATGCCAGGCGAGTGCGCCACTGCTTGAGCCACATCCCCAGCCCCATCTTTATGTTAATAGAGCTGTTTCTTTTGTCTTGAGGTGGTGACCTTGCTTTTCTGGTTCTACTTTATTCCTTATATTAATTTGCTATAGCCAGCATCCAAAATGAGGCAGATTTTCATCCAGGTGACCTCAATAAACTCAAGCCTATTTTGGACTAGGCCAGGTTCCTGAAGTTACTCTTGCTTTGTTCTTCATTAGAAAATGAAAGTGATACCTTAATAATACTGCCAAATTTTGTTGTCTGTAGAGTAAAATTTTGATGAGCAATTGTGAAAATTGTCCAAATGACATATAAAAGTGTTTATAGAGGTCAGACCGGGGAATTTAATTTCTTAACAAATGAATTCTGTTTTTATTTCCATTACATAGATTTGGCCATGGGTCAAAGGCAATAAAACATTTGACTATATTTATTTTGCTTATAAGTCTATCAGCCAAAACATATGGGGGTCAAATACCTATTATATGGATGGACTATGGATAGACACAACATGTATGAATCTCTAAATGATGATGTTGAATTAAGAAACCCCATGAAGTAGAACCAACCTAGATGCCCTTCAATAGATGAATGGATAAAAAAAAAGTATGGCATATATACACAATGGAATATTACTCAGCAATAAAAGAGAATAAAATCATGGCATTTGCAGGTAAATTGATGGAGCTAGAGAAGATAATGCTAAGTGAATTTAACCAATCCCCCAAAACCAAATGCTGATTGTTTTGTTTGATATATGGAGGCTGATTCATAGTGGGATAGGGAGCGGGAGCATTGGAGGAATAGACGGACTCTAGATAGGGGAGAGGGGTTGGAGGGGAAGGGAGGGGGCATGGGTAATTAATGATGTTGGAATGTGATGATCATTACTATCCAAAGTACATGTATGAAGACAGGAATCGGAGTGAATATACTATCTATACAACCAGAGATATGAAACAATGTGCTCCATATATGTAATAAGAAGTGTTATGCATTCTGCTGTCATATATAAATAAAAATGATATTATTAAAAAACAAACCCCATGAAATGAAGTAGTGTGCTGTATACTTCCATTTATACAAGATAATTAAAAATACAAACTAATCTTTTTTTTTAACCAACTAATTTAAAGAGACTGAAAACATTGGTGTTTGGTTGTCTGAGATGTCAGAAGAAGGAAGAGAAGAAGGTGTTAAAAGAGCACAAAGACACTTTTGGGGGTGATGGAAAGTTTATCTAGATTTTGTGTGTGATTATATCAAAAGTGTTGCATATGTCAAAATTCATTAATTTGTATGCCTTCAGTATTGCAGTTTATTATGTATTAATTATATCTCAATAAAGTCACAAAAATAATTAGTAAGACTGTCTTATGTCATTTAAAAAAAAACACAAGATGCAATGACACATGCCTGTAATATCAGCAGTTCTGGAGGCTGAGACAGGAGAATCTGTAGCTCAAAGCCAGCCTCAGCAATTTAGGGAGGCACTAAGCAACTTAGGAGATCCTGTCTTTAAATGAAATACAAAATAGGTCTGGGGGTGTGGCTAAGTGGTCAAGTTCCCCTGAGTTCAATCCCCAGTACCAGAAAACCAAAACATAAAAATTAAAAAAACCCTCCAAAACAAAATCCTTGTTATAATCAAGTGTTGTCTATACCTGGGACACCATCTGAGTTCATTCATTCACACATTCAGCATTACTGAACATCTATGGTGCATACCAGGCACTCTGCTGAGAGCACAGTGTTAAATAAGGAGATGAGAGTTACTCTAGGAAGCTTACATTGTGGCAGAGGAGACAGGCCAACAAATAATAACAGTGTGATAAGTGTTCTGACAGAGCAAGAAGGGGCAGTTTTGAAAATGCTTATCAGGATTATCTGAGCTGATTATTTGATAGTAGATGCCTGAAACTGTATTGAAAAGGATTCTGAAGCTTAGCAGGAAAGAACTGTGACTGGATGTCCCCCAGGCATCAGGGGTAGTGATTTTGGTGAATGACATACATTTGCCAATGTAGAGCTATCCTATTAAACTTGGCTTTATTTAAATTTCTCAATAATATGACTATTTTAACTGGTTCTGAAAATATAGTTGAAAATAATAGAGCTCTCTTATTATGGACTCACTTTTTTTTTTTCAGAGCAGTATTTTAAATGCAAAGTGTTCCTTGTTGGGGAAACATGAACCTTCGAGCTGTAGTATAGACAGAGGACGAGTGCTCTTTTGTTCTCATACATTGTTTTTTAGTGTATTTTACCCACTTATGTGACTGTGTCTGAGCCTTTGCTAAGGGTACTGCAGCTGGATTGTGTAGTGGAACCAGGTCCAGAAAAAGAATTGCTCAAGAATGCAAGTAAACAGGATGTCAGATGTTATCCTTAGCCTATTTCCCTAAACATAGCTTTTTGGCTGCAAAGTAAAATGCCATTCTTCTAACTTCTGCTTATACACAGTGATGGCTGACAGCAGGCACAATCTTCATTTGCTTGGCACAATGTCACAGTGCAACTCAATGTGTTTTGCAAGGAAGGATCATGACACCCAGCATCTCTCTGAGATAGTATAAGGACATCCGGTCATGTTTTGGAGGTACTTTTTCAGCCTGCCTAACTTTTCCGAGCTTTGTTGTGCCAGCACAGCTCTCCACCAGGCTTAGATCTGTCTGCCCTAAGAGCCAGTTGGCATCTTCCCCCTAACAGAAGCCAGATTTTCACTGAGGCTACACTATTTACTGATAGTGTTTTCCCTGAGTGTCTCATTTCCAAGGTCCCTAAAGTGCTGGTTCACCTCTGTTTTCCACAGCACTTGCTTCCTTTTCTTTCCTCCCTCCCAGCATCCTCCTCACTTCCTTTCCTTATAGCTTCTTGCACTGTTGGTTTTGTGTGTGTGTGTGTGTGTGTTGTGTGTGTGTGTGTGTGTGTGAGAGAGAGAGAGAGAGAGAGAGAGAGAGAGAGAGAGTGCATGCATGTGTGCTTCTTCTTCCTTTTTTATCCCAATGAATTTGTTTTTCAGATTTTGAAAAAGAAAACCAGTTTATCCAGGATTCTTATCTGGGTTTTTTTTCCTGTTTCCATATCTTTGTGTATGATCTCTGTAGTTTTCAGATCCCACGTTTTTGTGTGGGTTCCACTGTTGTCTAAGGAAAGTTGTTTTAAACCTTTGCTCTGCAAGCACCAGCAGAGAACTCAGAAAAAGGAAGACAACAGCAGATGCAATCACGGATGTGGCTTAGTCCTTGCAGCTGCCCCAGAGAACTGTTCAGAGTGTACCATCCACAGTAATGAATCCAGAAGAGCGAATCGTGACATGGCTTATATCTTTGGGAGTTTTAGATTCCCCAAAAAAGACCATCTGTGATCCGGAGGAGTTCTTGAAGTCCTCGCTGAAAAATGGGGTAGTGCTATGCAAACTGATCAACAGACTTATGCCTGGCTCAGTGGAAAAGGTAAGGTCAATTTTGCAGTATCTTTGGGATTGCTTGCCATCAGAAAGCAGTAATAATATAACTCTCAAGATTTCCCACTACTAGGTTGAGAGAATCTCCTACTTGAATATGTTTCTGAAAGTTAGACATTCCTTTGTACTGCTTTTGTAGTTTGAAATAGTCAGGAAGCTAAGTGTATTCCTTCAGTAACTGGCCCCCAAATTTTCACAGAATAATAACCTGTTACACTACTGGCAAGAGGGGACAGGGCAACACCCATATCACAAATTTTCTGTGTCGTGGAGATGCATACTGCACTTCCCTGTGTATGTCAGACATGTTTAAAACTTGGGGTGCATATGAGTCTTTGGAATAATTGTATGATTTATAGCAGGTCTTGATGATATTTACTGACGGGTTGTCTAAAAATTGATGTAAATTTCCTTTTCAAAAAATTGCCATTGAAGAAGGGACTATTTAGCAAGCAGAAGTGGTCTAAAATGTCACATAAGGTTTGTGAAAACAAGAGAAACCAAATATATATTTTGAATGCAACGTGTGTTCAAAGTGAAACTAAACTTACCCTCTTAAAAAAATTCCAAGATTTTTAAAAATATTTTTTAAGTTATAGATGGACACAATACCTTTATTTAATTATTTTTATGTGGTGCTGAGGATCAAACTCAGTGCCTCATACATGCAAGGCAAGCACTCTGCCACTGAGCCATAATCCCAGCCCAAAATCCCAAGATATTTTGATGTTGGGAGCCCATGATATTGACAATAGATAATTTCTAAGTTAGGCCCTTCAAGTAAGCTTAATGGTAGAGTCCTGCAATTATTTTCTTAAGCTCATCATGGAATATGACTGAGTAGCATTCTTTTGTCTTCTTGAACCAGTTTGTATTTTTATTGAGCAAGTAGATTTAATTTATAATCTCTTAAACCTGAGACACGGTGATAAAATGGGGGTAAAACAGAGAAATATAATCAAATTAGACAACAGCCAAGGGAAATAAGTTTTTAATAATTTGTCATGGGGAGGGGAGGTAAGAAGTATTGCTTTCTTGCTTGAAAGCAAGAACTGAACTCAAACAAATACTGTCTTGGTCTCTCTAAATTTGTTATCACCACCTGAAGGTTGAAGGCATGAGAAAACGCTCGTAAGTAGAAGTGGCTTGGTGACATTTGAAAGAAAAACCAACCATTTAGATTTTTGCATCACTTCCTTTGGTGGTTATTTCTCTTCCTGGTTTGGCGGCAGCATCACCCTCTGCCTTATTTAGCTATCAGCGAATGATGAATATGGTTTGCTGGGCATGGGATGACAATCTCCAAGTGACATTTGACTGTATTTCTCTAGTATTGTCTGGAGCCCCAAAATGAAGCCAGCTGCATCAGTAACATCAATGGCTTCCTGAAAGGATGTTCGACCCTCCAAGTGGAGGTAAGCCTACCCAGCTTATTTTCCTTGTTGTCACTATTTTTGCTCTGCTGATAAAAATTGGTGAGTAAGAGTACTTCATCGATTTTCACTGCCAATGGCCACTGACTTAAACAGGAGTAGTATGTTATAGAAACCAGAGTTGAGATTGGTGGCCTGCAGAGGTAGATTGCTAGTGTTGGTCTTTTCCATAAACCAGTTCCAAACAAAACTCAAAAGATGGTGCTGGGGTTGTGGCTCAGTGGTACTGAGCTCACCTCGTGCGTGCAACACCCTGGGTTTAAGCTTCAGCACCACATATAAATAAATAAATAAATAAATAAATAAATAAATAAATAAGTAAATTCTGTCAACTACCAATAACAGTGGTGCCTATTATTATTGTTTTTATTATTATTATTTTTCAGCACTAAGGATATAACTCAGGGTCTCAAGCACTCTGGGATAATGCTCTACCACTGGGCTACATCTCCAGCCCTAAATTATGCCTTTTAAACACACATCCAATTCCTTAAAATAGGCTTCCAGTGACAGAGCTTTTGTGGGTGTTCTTCCCCACAAAGGGGAACCAAAAGTGGGCCACTGATAGCTGAAGAGGGTCACTGTAATTCCCTTGAGTTGGGAAGCAAAGAAAGGCCATTGCCATTCTTTCCCATTAACTCCTCAGACCAGGGGTCTTGAAAAGTTGAGAGAGCCTGGCCTCAAGGTAAAAATTATATATTAAAGTATGTTGCATCACTAATGGGTCCTTACAGCTTTTATAATGGTGTTACTGAAACGGAGGTGATGCTTCCACCCGTGTGTCAAGATACTTAACTTTTCTGTGCCTTGATGTTTTTATCTGCAAAATGGACATAATAATAGTTACTTTTCCTTAATGGATCAAATGAGACACTGAATAACAATTTAGGGCTAAAAGCACCAACCTCATGAGATAATTTATTTAATGTCCTCAGCATAGGGCTGGGACAAAAGTTTCCTTTATTAGTAGATTAGCATTAGCAGTGTTCCCTGTGGACAGGTAGTAGTGTTTGTTTTTTAATTTTTTTTTAGTTGTAGTTGGACCCAATACCTTTATCTCATTCACTTATTTTTATGTGGTGCTGAGGATTGAACCCAGGGCCCCAAGCATGCTAGGTAAGCGCTCTACCGCTGAGCCACAATCCCAGCCCAGAGTAGTAGAGGTTTGAGCCTGGACTCTGGTGCTAGATTTCTTGGGTTTAAATCTCAATTCCAGGGGCTGGGGATATAGCTCAGTTGGTAGAGTGCCTGCTTAGCATTCACAAGGCCCCCTAGGTTCAATCCCTAGCACCACCAAAAATAGAAAAAAAATCTTAATTTCTCTTCACTAGTGGATTTGTGATCTCTGGCATATTACTTAAATATGCCTCTATGCTCTTGTGAAATGGGAATAACAGGGGCACCTATGTCATAGGACTGATGTGAAATCTCAATGAATTTAGTCATATAAAGCCCCCAAACAAGTTCTTGGAACATTTTCAAGTGGTAGTTATTCTTCTTATTAGCAGTACTAGGAACTTCACCCCAGATACTTAGCTTGCTTCACAATTTTCCCTAAAGCTAGCCCTAGTGTAAAGCAACACCTATCTCAGAATATCTTATTCCAGTTTTCCCTATTGCTCAATTTGAGAGCTGTGTGTGTATGTGTGTGTGTGTGTGTGTGTGTGTGTGTGTGTGTGTGTGTGTGACACACATGTGCATGCATGTGGCTTTTGGGGTAGACATGGCTTCAGACCACCACTTGATATTTCTTATAGAATGATGTCTACTATGGAACAGATCATGGTATTTTCTTTTTTAATTTTTCAAATAAAAACATGGTGAAGTTGCCAATGATTGCTGTGCTCTGAAGCTGCCAGAAGGTAGACTGAGCTTCTCTGCAGTTCTAAGAATACTAGATGGTACAGAAATACCTCCTGGGTCTGGAATTGTTGGGGATTTTTCCAATAACTAATGCTTACTCCTTTAAGCATAAGTGCTTAAAATATTTTTATCCACTTTGGGTAGAAATCTTTCTAAATAGAAAGTGCATCACAATAATTCATCTTCTTAAAAAGGATTGGGCATATTTTCATCTCCTTTTGATAATTCAGGCTGACCTGAGTGTGTTATGAATATGGTAAAAAGCAATATCTGCAATTGTAGTTACTCATAAGCCTTCCCTAGTTTAATCTGAGTTAGAGTCTTGGCTTGGTCAGTTACTGACTCTGGGAAAAGTTACTTGCCATGTCTATGCTCCTGTTTCCTCATTTGTATAATGAGGACATTAGCAATATGTACCACACAGGATTGCTTTGAGGATCAAATGAGATGATGCATCCAAGGCACTTAATATATCACTGCACAAAAATATGAATACTGGCTGTTCTTGGATGTGTTGTTACTCATGCCTGTAGGTGATATACAGGTGCCATACTGGGGCCCTCCTAGAACCCTGAGAGAAGACTCATAAAATTAGTAAACAAGGGATGAGACTGGAAGCTGAGCTGGGAAGCTCTAAGCAGCTATGTTGACCATAAAGTCTCAAGCCAGGAAACAGACTCAAACACACAAATATTTTCAAGTGTCACTAGACAGAGTATCTGTCAGGCCTAGCATAGTGCCTGACATAAGGTATGTCTAATGAAGTTTTGTTCACTCTATAAAACTGTGAGTATATTAAAAGAAAGAAAAATCAGGGCTTGACTATTGCCCAGAACACACCGTTACTCATCTAAAGAATGAGTGCCAGCTTGAAATGGTCAGTTTGACAATGTAGAAAACATGGAGCCTGAGAAGCAGTTGGGAATCAGATTCTGGGGCATTGGGACCACATTAAAGAGCTGCTGCCTTCTGGACCTCTGAGGCCATTTGGTTTTTTCCAGATGACTTCTATCTTTGTGTTCTCATATTGTGACAATGTCTTAGGGTCTCCAGAGGATCACACAAATAGTAACTGATGGGGGAAGTCTGCTGAGACACCTGGGTAACAGTGTTCTCTGAAGCACTTCCCCAACTTTGATAAAATCCCTTGAAACACAAAAGTTTAAAAAATTCTGATGAAGTCAAATTCATTTTTTTTGTTAATTTTGTTATTTGTATCTTTCATATCATCTAAGAAACCCTTGCCTATTCAAAGGTTATGAAGATTTACTTTGATTTTTCTTTTAAGAGTGTTACAGTTCTAATTCTTACACTAGGTGCCTTGATCCATTTTGAGTTAATTTCTTTATGTGATAGGAGACAAGGGTCTAAATGAATTCCTTTGCATGCACACATGCATTTTTCCTCAGTATAATTTATTGAAAAATTATTCTTTCTTCAGTTGAATTGATTAATGTAGCTTTTTAAAATCAGAAGGTGTGAGTCCTCAGCTTTGTTCTTCATTTTCAAGATTGTTTTGGCTATTCTGGATCCCTTGCATGTCCATGTGAATTTTAGGACCAGCTTGTCCATTTCTGTGGGGGGAAAAAAGCCAGCTGAGATTTTGATAGTTATTGTGTTCAATCTGCAGATCACTTTGGGAAATATTGTCATCTTCATAACTTTTCAGTCTTTGAATCTATAAACACAGGATATCTTTCCATTTATTTAGGTCTTCTTTAATTTTATTTGACAATGTTTTGTAGTCGTCAGTGTAAATGTCCTATGCCTCCTTGGTTTAATTTTTTCCAAAGTATTTTATTCTTCTTGAAGCTATTATAAATAGAATTATTTTCTTAATTTTGTATTTGAATTTTTCATTTCAAGTGTATAGAAATACAATTGATTTTTTATATTTCTCTTCAATTTTGTATAAGATTATGTCATCTGTGAACAGATACCATTTCTTCTTTCCTTCCAATCTGGATAACTTTCATTTCATTTTCTTCCTTCATCTGTCTGCCTAGAACCTCCAGCACAATGTTAAATAGAAGTAGTGAGAAAGTCCTTGTCTTGTTTCTGATTTTAAAGATTAAAGCTTTCAGACTTTCACTACTGAATATGTTATTAGCAGTGTATTTTTCATAGATACCCTTTATCTAATGTTGAGGAAATTCCCTAACACTGCTAGTTTGTTGAGGGATTTTTTTTTTTTAAATCGTAAAAGGGTGCTGGATTTTGTCAAATGCTTTTACTGCTTCTGTGAAGATGATCATTGTTTTTTATATTGATATGTTCTATTACATTCATTGATTTTCATATGTTAAATCAATCTTCCATTATGGATAAATTCCAGTGAGTTATGTTGCATATGCACGTAAAAAATTGTGTACAATTGTGATTATTCTTGAAGAATCTTTCTCAGAAGTGGAATGACTGTGTCAAAATTTGATAGATAATATTCTTCTAGAAAAATGCTATCCAAAGTTACACTGCCACCAACAGTTAGAAGTGTCCTCTTCCTTGTGTATATGACAGCATGGGATATTATTTATCTTTAAAGTTTGCTAAACTAATGGATAAAAACTATATTTTATTTTTTTGCTGTAATTTGTATTTCATGATTCCTAATGAATTGGGACATCCTCTCCCTTATAGTCCATCTGTATTGCTTTTTCTAAACCAAATATATCTTTTTTAGTTTCTTACACAATGAAGAAGGCCAGGGGGTGGTATTTGGGTCTGAAGTAAAAACTTTCCAAATCCCCTATGGAAAAAAAAATCTTTGTTTCCAGGTAGTGTAACTAATGTGACTAGGAAGTCTTTCACAACATGACAACATGAGTTCTAGCAATGATAGATAGATTTGTTGGTGTTTTGCCTTTGGACTCAGTGGGTATCAGGGACACATATGATTCTCATCTGTTGGAAGTGGCCTATGTAGTACCTCCCTGCATTGTTCTGGCAACAGCCACAGGACTGACTGGTCTGCGAAAGTTCCAGCCTTATGGCTTCCTCTGCTTAAAGGACCAGGCCTTTTCCCTGCTTCATCCCCAATAGGTACTCTTGTTTTGTCCTCTACCACCACTGCTACCTACTCACTGCTAGGGACATCCTAACATCTCGTATTTTGCTCCTGG